TGTGTCTGTCCTTGTGCTGTGAGGAAGTATGTTCTTTAGCCCAGCTGATCTTTTGCAATTGTGGATGTCCACTGAAATACGCCTTGAAATCGATTAAAACACCTTGTGCTCAATTTGATTCATGACTCATCCTTTTTTGCATTAAATAACTCAAAGTAACTTTTAATTTTTTTTTTTAATGAAGTAATTTTGTACTTTTACTTGAGTAAATTTTGAGATGGGTAATTTTACTTTTACTCTGAGTAAAATTTAGGCAAATAAAGATACTTTTACAATTTTTTTGTACTCTTTCCACCTCTGGATGTCAGTGATGCCTTTTTTCAGACATTCTCTGATCTTTTTTTCCTAGATATAACAGAATGCACACCTTCTAAAAATATCTTCTTTTATCTCATCTTTCCACAACGATTCAATGATCCCAAGTATTTTGAATATCAATAGTGTTTTTTGTGGAAAACAGTGTGGAATGTTGTGTTTTCTTTTGGTCCGCAGCTTGACGCTGCCCCATGGAGATCATTTTTGCTTCAGGTTTTCCTTATTGCTGAATCATTAAAACTGATGTTTACAGATGTTGCCAAGAAACTTATAACTCAGGAAGCTCTTGGTTCTTTTGTGACAATCGAGGTAATTGATCCGCATATTTGGAGTCATTTTGCTGGGAAGGAAACTCTTGGGGAGGTTAACTTTTCTCCATATGTTGAATAATGAGTGTCACTATAGTTTGCTCTATTCCTAAAGCCTTAAAAACTGGTTGTAACTACTTAAAATGTATTTTTTTAATCTTAAAACATAAAATATTAATTTTTAAAATTAATATAATATTTAATCTCAAAATCTGTTGAGCCAATGAATGTAATATTTCAGTCTCTGAAACAATAGAAGATAATTTATTTGAAGAAAAGTCTGTTGTTTTCCAGTTCTGTGTAAAGTAATCTGCTTACTGTATTTCATTATATTTCCAACTGCAACAGATCACCTCTAGCAGCAACAAGACCAGACCCAACTACAAGAACAATCCCAACTGAGTTGAGATATTTGGAAATAAGTAAAACATTATGTCCAAACAATCAATAAATTAGAGAACATATGTTTTTGTTTTCTTTTCAAGATGCTGTTTCTGTGAGTTTATTATATGATTTACAGCTGAAACCAAAGTCATTTCTAATCCTTGAAGCGGGCATTTAGCAGCCAAGTCTTCTCGAGTCATGATACAGACCTCTGTCCCTCTGCATAGCTCCAAGGTGCACAGCTGCATTTTGATGCAGAAGCCACCTGTAATTTGATCACATTGAGGCACTAAGGTTATGTGCTCTGCTGTGGCAAAAGCATCTTGATGCTTACTCAATGTGGAGAAGTGAAAAATAACCAACTGTTGGAATAACTAGGATAGTAAAGGCAGGTCTCTTACTTATTTATGCTTTTACTAAAGAGCTAAACTATGGGGGAAGTTATTATTATTTTTTATTTATTTTATTTTTTTGTATTTGCAAAAAAAAAAAAAAAAATTGATTTTATTGGCAAGTGGCAATTGATTTTTTTATTTCTTATTTCTTTATTTCTTATTTTTATTTTGTTTTTCATTGTGTGCGATACATGTACACTTGCACCTTAATCCTTATTTATCTTGATATACTGTATATACCTGGATATACTGTATATATATTGTTTATTGTTTATTCTTAATGCACCTTTTTCTTCCTTGTTTGCACCTTCTTTGACTTCAATGCCAATATGTGACAAGTGAATTTCTCCACTGTGAGATCAATAAAGCTCATCTAATCTAATCTAAATAAAAATCAAATGGTAAATGTTACAGACATTTTACTCAATAATCCCTATGGATGGATATTTGTTTCATGTCGTATGGAGTCTGAGGTTCCTTCTAAATAGTGCAAATTTGTAAGGTCATTAAATAAAATGTCTGATTTCACTGTCCTCTTTTCTTATGTTCTCTGTATTGTCTTCCTTTTGTCCCTAAAATCTTATTGATTGAGTCTTGGCCTCAGCAAATCTTGCAATGAGGAGATCCACTGACTTCAGGATCCACGTCAAAGAAACCTTTAAAGCCTGAAGTTTTTCTGAAAATTCAGCACAAAAAGACACAATTATTAATTTGATAATCATTAAGACAGCAGAAGAGATGATAACTGGAAGAAGAACCAGAAAGGAGGAAATATTAATGGCTTAAAAATACTTTTAAAAAAACAAAAAACACAATGTGGGGAAATGTGACCAGCATAGGGAGAATGAACGGATAGAACATTTAACATGGTAAAGTTTCAAACAGCTTATACTTATATAGCACTTTTTTATTTTCTGTTTTGAAGATATCAAATCATCCATAAACACATTCACATGCAGACATCTGCCAAGTTGTGTTTTAGATTTTCTTATTTTTGCATTATAGTTACATAAACCAATCTTTCCCAATCATATAGTTAAATATATTTAGAGTTAAGAAACTCCAAGTGCAAATAATTGAGAATTGTATCAATATAGTTTGTGGACCCCCCTCAGACAGTCTTGTCCCCCTGTGGCCCCCCACAACAACAAAAATGTTGACTCCACTATTGGCTGGAAGCCATAATCATTATAGAATAGTGACAGTAAATAATTAAAATACAATTAGCACATTTATTATTAAAATGCAAAATCAGAGCAGAATTTGTACTTATATTAATCGCATTCCTTGGGAGCAGAGGGTAGCTTGTACACTCCAGGGACGGAGTGCTGCAGGCGTAGGTTTGATTTAAACTTTGGCAGGGACACTATTGGTCTGATGTCATTGGTCCTATGCAAAAATATGCATTGTCATTTTTTTATGCTTGACGTGAAAATCAGGGTGTATTTTGTTTAAAGAGAAAAGCAACATTTCTTGCTACATTTATACAAATTTTATAAGCGTTACACACACTAGATGCTGTTAATCAATGTTTGAAGCATCACTGGCATTATAATTACTGGAATTATGACTAAATTCCACTTTGAAAAGGTTTGCATTTGAAATTACCAGCGACTAAGACAGAAAGTAAATCTGTGCCTATTTAACAGAATATTGTCTAAATATGTCTGTTATATGTGAATTTATCCTGTTTTTTCATTTGAAGATATACAATTGAGCAGAGGTAAACAGAGGGAAAACCCACTCTTATCTTTTAAATATTCTCTCTGTATCATGAAACAAAGCAAAATAATAGAGTCAAGGGACACCAAATACATTTATTGTATTTACATGAGCACTGGAACTGACACTGAACATTTAGAATATTAATTTCACTCTACAAGTCATCTAGGCTTTAGTTATTCTATTTAACCCATATCATGTATTTTATCTTGGGCTGAAACAATTCATTAGATTAAATAATTACTAAAATGTCAACAAATTTAGTAATCGATTCATCGTTAACTGGAGTGTAGAGACTCTAAAACATGACTTTAGCTCACAGAGCAACCCGCTTCGAGCAGGAATTATACCAAAATTGTACAAAATATATATAAACATTTTGCATTTTAGATCAAAAATGTTTTTGTCTGTCAATATTCTCCATCCAGAACTCCTCTACTGCTGCAACAAAGCTGTATTGTAAATTATAAACATGTTATTCACATCTAATTGTTGGTAGGGACAAGTAGGTCGGTCCAAAATATTGGTAGAGACATGTCTGTATGGTCCCTATGCAAACCTACGCCCATGGCTGCAGGGTCTTGCTCAGGGAGCCAGATTTACAGTGAGGTTGCAGCTCCCTAACCATCAGATCTCCCCCCTAAGAGTTAAAACACAAAGTGAAATATATGACTCTTTGTTGTAAATCTCAGTTGCCTTTTTATTGTCTAACGAAATCAATGAAACCTGATTGCTTTTTGGTTACAAATTTACTGAGCTGCACCTAAGAATATACACTACAGTAATAATTAAAAATAAAAACATAGAAAAGAAAATGCGTATTTAAAGTTCTTAGATAAATTAACTAATAATAGATGCATTTTTTTAGATTAAACGTAATTTTTTTTGCATTAAATAACTGGGAAATTCAGGTTTAAGTTTGGAATAGAATTCATTGGGATGTAGAAGAAGAATGGTTCCAGATTTCACAATCCTTTACTGACATCTGCTGGCGAAAAGCAGAACTGCACATATTCTGCTCAGCTGCAGCTGCTACTGACACTACGAAGGTGAACAAAGGTAACTCAAATCATATTTATTGTTAACATTTAAAGTAATTGATAACTTTATTAATACGGTGTCAGATGTTCTCTCCGTTGTAGTTCAACCATGGTTAGCAAACTGCTTTCGTTTAATGTCAGCTAGTCTGCTCAGGTAGGAAAGTGGTAGCTAGTTTGTTTGCTAGTAATGCTAACCATAGCTAGTTAATTCCAAAAATTGAAGGTTATGTAAATGTAAAAGAAAGACGTAAACAGTAGGTTCTGTAAAAAAAAAAATAACATTTATTAAATCGACTAACATAGTAGTGCTATTTTGATTGCTTTGATTCATTTATGCCTGCGTTAAATGAAGCTAACTTCCTGTTTAGTCACTGATCTGTTTATTTTATTGACTTCCTTAAAGAGTTACTGTTAGTGTAGGTGAATGTAAATAAAGCTAATAATAGGGGTATGTATGGTAAACATACTCATAGATCTATAAAAAAAAAATATATATATATATATATGTGTGTGTGTGTGTGTGTGTGTGTGTGTGTGTATGTGTGTATATATATATGTATGTATGTGTGTGTGTATATATATATATATATATATATATATATGAATGTATGTATGTGGGTATATATGTGTTTATTTAAAGATAATGGAATTCTTTTTACTAAGAAAAAGGCTTTTAATTGATTTTAATAACCGGTTAATTGTTTTCTAATGTTTATGACACTTAATAAGCTCCAATAAACATTAGTTCATACCAGTGACAAGAATTACTTTACTTTAAAATCATTTAACAGCAAAAAACTTTTAGAATTTTGATCAGTTTGCTGGTTGAAAGATTTTTTTAACCTGATTAAACTCAATCAATGTATTTTGCATAAAACTAAAATGGAATTTGTATGTGTGAACACACTGATTATTTTGAAGGGATTAACACATCATATAATCAATTGCTCATCACCAAGTGTGACCAGCTCCAGCGCTGAAATGATTAATCAGATCAATTGTGATTTATTGATTGTTTAAATGATTGTCAACTAATTTAGCAATCAATTATTCATTAACTGTTCTACAGAGACTCTAAAGCATGCCATTAGCTGTAAGAACCATATCATTCAGAGCAGTAATTATACCAACATTACAAAGAATATATACAATTTTTTCATTTAAGAAAATAAAAAAAACCTTTTTGTCTGTCAGAATGCTCTATCCAGATCTCCTTAAATGGCAGTTTTAGCTTCTGGTTTAAATTCTGTATAAAATCTTCTTCAAGGAGCTTTTTTTCTGGTTATTACTTGATTAATTAAAAATATAACAGACATATTAATCAGTTAGCAAAATAATCAAAATAATAGCTGCATCTCTATAAAACCAGCCCATTTAGCAGTTTGATAGTCTGGAGGTGTAATGCTTTGCTTCATGGTCATTCTGTATGTTAAATATCATGACAGTCACTATAATCCAGATTAACTTTTAAACATAATAAGTCATTTATTATCTAAATTAATAAATGATCACAACTTAGACAACTTTTATTGTCATGTTGTTTACACAGAGTGTAAACAAAATTAAATTTGGTTTTGTACAGCTTTCAGAATATTTCCATAAAGTGCAGCAGTGATCAAATGTAAACAGTGTGGGAGAAAAAAACATGATGCAAACATGCAGTATTTTTGGTTTGGGTTTGTCAGTGTGATGCAGAGTCTGTGACATGAGTGTTTCAACAGTTCAGCAATCTGATGGCGGTGGGAAAGAAGGTGTTGCAGAATCTGCTGGACCTGAATGCTGCGAAGCCTCTTCCCAGAGGGCAGCAGGAAGAACAGTCCAATTAAAACATTTATATATTAAAAAAAATATATTCATTCAACATATATACTATGAAATAACACTGAATTTAATTGTCTCAAATGAATTCATTGTTAAAAAGGAAGCCAACTAAAAAAGTAAAGGCGTCACAAAGGTATCCAATTTCTTTTTGTTTTACACTTGTGTAAACAAAATGACAAATAAATCTGTCTAATTCACCTCTTTAAAACCAATAAAATGCTTTGGCTTCTGTTGGTAACGCCTACTTAGTAAGGCAAGTTGGATCTTTCATTTTTTTAATTTTTTTTTACACTTAGAATGTACTTAAATATTTTTTGTCTAATCTGAAAAACATCTAGAACATCGGCAAGAAGACGAAGACTATTACGTTAAGTCCAGATGTGTAAAATACTACAACAGTAAACCAAGCGAAAATAAATAAAACCAACATTTGGACTAAATAACTAAAAAATTAGCTCATCCACTACTGAAAAAAATGGATTTCAATTGATTATTATTCACATGTTGATTTTCTTTTAAGAACATTTAGTCACATTATAAAGACTGAAGACAGTGCAGTTAATATTTGAGGATATTTTTCTGTAATGTAAAAGAAAGTTAAACTGCACAGTAAAAGAAAATGGAATTCTGATGCATTTATCTGTTTATGTCCCTCAGTTCAGCACAAAGTGGTCCTAAATGATCTCAGAATGGAGTCGAGTGGAAAACCTTCAACGGCACAGATTGTGGTTTTAGCCACCAGCTCTGCGCTGACTGCTGTATTTTACTCCATCTACAGAAACAGAGTTAAAATTGCTTCCTGTTTAAAGGTCAGCCATGTTTCCTGCACAAAAATGGCAAATGTTGTAATTTACCACGAGTAATATGACATCGGATCTCATGTTTAAACACAGGAAGCCAAGAAAGTCTCCATAGATCAGGATTTAAAAGCCATCCTGTCTGAAACCCCCGGAAGATGTTTCCCCTATGCTGTCATAGAAGGTTTGCTAAGTGTTCTTTAAATCCTAAATAAGATCTTAGTTCATCCTTTGCTTTAATTGTAATAGTTGTTACCTGCTGCAGGTGAGGTGAGATCCGTGAAGGAGACTCTCAGCAGCCAGTTCGTTGATAACTGCAAAGGAGTCATCGAGAGGCTGACTGTGAAGGAGGAAAAGATGGTGTGGAATCGCACCACACACTTATGGTGAGTGGAGGAAATATAACAGGTGATGCTTTCCTATTCTGCCTATAAGCTTTCCTTTTGTTTTAATAAACATAAAAAAGCATTTGCCTATTTTGCTTTTATTAAATGCTTTTCTGGCATCCAGTCCCAGCACTGACATCAGAATTTCACACATAAGCAGATTGAGAATGATTTAATAAAACTATTTAAATCTAGCATGTAATAGTGATGTCAGAGCAGGTGGTGACGCTGTCGCAGACAGCAGCCCCACATAACAGATTCCCAGAGTCCGTTTGTCATGTACCTTATCTTGTAGGCGGATTATTCAGATATTAATCAGGGAGGAAATTGATGAACTGCTGCCATCAGTTTGTTATTGGATAGTTTATTAGCAGCAACACGTTGTTAACAAATCTGCAAATGCCACACTCTAAATGTCACAGACTGTTTCCTGTTGGGTTTTCTCCTCAGGGAAACCGGCGAACAAAGGATTTTTTTCTTTATGTTTCTTTTACCTTTAATAAATCTATTTTGCATGAAGGGAAAAAATACAGGTAAAAAAAAAAAAAAATATGAATCCAATTAACAAATCTTACTAAATCAGTTACCTTTGTTGTTCTTTGTAAAAAACTCAGACATTATGTTTTAACGGTGCAAGGTGGTTTTTTTCTTCCTCAAACCGGTTCCAGTGGACTCATATAAACTAATGCTATTTACAAACTGCAGGAACGTCCCTCAACCACCTAAAGGTATACTATGCAACCGGTGTTGATTTTCCAGCGAGGCTCCCCCCAGAGGACGAAAGTAAAAGTGCACTGTCGTAAATATGCTCAGCTATATAAATATAGCTCACCAAGCCAGGCGCGGTTGTTTTGAGCTTAGCAAACAGGCGAACGCAACGAATCACCATGTCTACTGCGGTAAGTGACTATTTTGTTCCAATTTTCGAGTTTGAAAATTCTCGCTGCACAAATATCGCCACTGCGCTAGCAACGAGCATGCCTTTCACTGGGGGCGTGTAGCAGTTCTCACCATAAAGCAAGACTGACTCTCGTGATGCACGAGACTTCTGAGCCTGTGGGTGCGGACCGAGGGCTCCTGCAATTGCAAGTACGGTATTTCCCCTACAGACCACCAGGGCGGCCGAGAAAACCTTTGTTTGACCTGAAATGACTCATTTAATCATCCAAAACGTTATGGAACACATTAATTAACTGAAAAATGTTGCATAGTATGCCTTTAACCTCTGTGTCCACTGTAGAGGAATCATGGCATTTCATGTGTATATCTGAGCATTTTGCCTCATGACTCCCTCAGTTCTCTAAAAACACTCAATATGAGGGAAAATGCATTTGGAATACAGAACATTTGCACCTTTTGCACTACCCCTCTGAAACCGATCTGTGCCGAGTTTGAGTTGGTTCTTAAGGCCATTTATACATCACGCTAGTTTTGTTCCTCGCCTCACATCGGCAGAGATGGGAAGTAACGAAGTACAAATACTTTGTTACTGTACTCAAGTAGATTTTTCTGATATTTTTACTTTACTTTACTACTTATTTTTATGGCGACTTTTTACTTCTACTCCTTACATTTTTACACAAATATCTGTACTTTCTACTCCTTACATTTAAAAAAATTGGCTCGTTACTTTAGTTTTGAATCATTTCAATGGAGTTACCGTTATTATTTTTCACGTCATCAATACCAAATTCAATGTAATTGGATGGGAATCTACGTTGCATTTGACGCACCACTACAAGATGAATCGACAGATTCGGCGGTATTCATTCGCGGCAAATCATTGCAGCTTGGTGGCGGTGGCGTTAGCATAGTAGCATGGACGACGAGATGATTGAAAATGAACACAACGGAGATCTAGTCCTATTGGCAGACATCCATTTAAAATGTAGGCAACGGCATGAAAAAAGTGGTTTCTACTTTTACTTTTATACTTTAAGTAAATTTACAAGCCTGTACTTTGTTACTTTTACTTGAGTAAAGAAGTTTAATCAGTACTTCCACTTTTACCAGAGTTATTTTTAACACAAGTATCTGTACTTTTACTCAAGTACGGAAAGTGAGTACTTTTGCCATCTCTACATATCGGCGGTCCACAATACTACAGCTCTCAAGGTGGGAATTACTCAAGTAAAAATGGCAGCGCCCATAACATTCAAAAACTTATGTGCCAGGATAATGTCCTCTGCCCAAAGGCAATGAGAGCCTCGGTCTCTGCACCATCCCAGGCCGCCATTTTCCTCTTTTAAACCAATTTAACTTTTATTAGGTTCGGAGGAGTTTTTTTTTTTGACCGGTTGCGGGGTTTTTTGATTTGCAAGGCGGGTTCCACGGGCCCTTTTCAGTTTTTTTTTTTTTTTTTAGTAAGAAGCTTTTCAAAATTTCATTTCTGGATTGTGTTTTATTTTTAAGTTTCTATTAACAAATCGTAATCTTTTTTTGCAACAATAACGGGACAAAATTCACTCCATATTCTTCTGTTTGTGTAACTATATTTCCAAACAGGAATAGCACAGAGAAAGTCATCCATCAGCGCACCAACGCCGTCCCATTTGCACTCGGGTCTCACGATGCAGACATCACCACCACTGTGCGGGTTGTTCGTCCCCTAGATGCAGCGGAGTTGGACCTGGAAACCACCTATGAGAACTTCCACCCCACAGTCCAGTCCCTGTCCAACGTCATCGGCCACTTCATCAGCGGAGAACGACCAAAAGGGATCCACGAGACGGAGGAGATGCTGCGAGTTGGCGACAGCGTGACGGGAGTGGGAGAACTGGTACTGGATAACAACCTGATCAAGCTGCAGCCACCGAAACAGGGCTTCTGCTATTTCCTCACCCGGCAGGACTACGCGTCTCTCCTGAGGAAGCAGGTAAACGGCGTCAGGGTGTGGAGGATCCTGGCCCTCGTGTTTGGACTCGCCACCTGCTCCACTCTCCTCTTCATGCTCTGGAAGTGGTACGTTCTCCGCAGGGAGAGCAGGAAGAAGAAGAGCATCCTGGAGGAGTTCAAGGAGCAGCAGAGGAAGCGTATGCGTGAACTCCAGATGGAGGAAAGCAGCGTTCCTCCCACCAGCTGCAGCGTGTGTCTGAGCCGGGAGCGCTGCTGCGTGTTCCTGGAGTGTGGTCACGTGTGTTCCTGCGGCCCGTGCTACGAGGCGCTGCCAGAGCCGAAGAAATGTCCCATCTGCAGGGCGACTATCGACAGAGTGGTGCCTCTTTACAACAGTTAAATCACTTGATCCTGAATGTTGGTCTGGATTTCTCAGGCCTGAGAGGGGCTTTTAATCCAGCTCTGATGGTGACGGGTTACCTGCAATGAACTGAACTAAACTGAAGTCAAACCTTTTCAATCAAACCGATTAAGAAATTGAGAGAGAAAATGGGATGGCTTTGTGTTTAGAGCTTACAAATATTGATCCAACTCTACAACAGTCTGCCAGAGAAGGTGGAGTTATGATCTGAGAAAGCTAAACTCATTATACAATAACACTGGAAGGATTATACGTTTGGAGTCATTATAGCCTTATATCCGCTCAGCAGCTCTCAGTCTTTTACTATTATTTAAAATAATGTGGCACAAAGCGTAGCACTGCAAACACTGATCTAAAAATCAATACAAATGTCTTACAATAGTGTGTTTTCCTTTAATTTGTGCAGGTAAATAGATGATCAGCCAATTGAATGAGTGTTCTTACCTTAAGATAATTAGATGTTATGCACTTTTGAGTTGCTTCCCTTACTTGATTTATGCTTAAATAAATCATCTTATTCCATTGGTTGATCGTCTTACTTACCTACCTGCTCAAAAAAGAGGAAAATCATTTATTTCAAGAAAAAATTCTTATTTTTCAGTTTTTGGACTGCTATATAAAGTCGTCTCTGAAGATAAATCCCTCCACAGGATGATGTTGCCACCACCATGTTTCAGTGTGGGTGTACTGCTCATTGTTTTATGCAGTGTTGTTTTCATACTCTATCTGATTTGGTTAAACTTGTTGGTATATTTTCATCATGTTGTAATGTGTTATATGCAAATAAAACTGCTTTTTTACAGACCTGTGAAACTCATTTATTTACTTTTATGTAAACAAAAAGGAAAGCAGTAGGAATTAGGAAAGCAGACGGTTCCACCTCCTGCTTTATGTTGTTTTTAATGATTCTACAGAGAATTTCATCATTTTATCTTTGCCTTCATTTGCTTTTGATTGAAAAGACTCATTTGATTTAGTTTGGAAGTAAGATCGCCCAATGCAACAGGAATGAGCTGAATTCATCTTTTAATTAAGCTTTATCTTTTTAACGGCCTTTCCAGATCATTCAAGGTTACCTTTTTTTTTTTTTATGATACAGAATTCTCACCGTGAAGATTTCCTGCTCTGGTTGTACACCTTAGAAAAAAGATCTTAAGAGCTTTTAATGGCTTTTAGGGGAATTATTGATTTAGCATATTAAAACTGCCTCTGACTTAATACTCCTCAGGTTTCTTAGAAAAGAACTTTTAATAAAAGTCATCTTCAAACAGACATAAAAACATGTAATTGTATACACTGGAAAAACGATGTAGAAATAAGTAAAAATGTCTTCAATTAAGTCTATTTAACCTTAATTTGAGTAGGTAAATTAGATATTTTGCCAATTGAATGAGTATTTTTACTTTTAAAATAAGATAATTAGATAATATGTACTTGAAAGAAGACATTTCAATTATCTTTTCTTATTTTAAGTGTAAATTTTCTTGTTCCATTGGCAAAATGGATCCTTTACCTCCTCAATCCAAGAGCAAATGCACTTATTTTATGAAAAAAATACTTATCTAGATTTTGATTTTTTCCAGTTTTTTCTTTCCTTTTTAAGTTTTCTGTGTTGGTTAAAACTAATTTATATTTTTTATATTTGTATATTATTTCATTTTCCTTTCATTCTTGACTTTAAAGCAGTTCTTTCTAATAAAACTTGATATGCTCATTTATATATAACTTTATTTGATTGTTTGTAATCTTATCAGGAGTTTAAAAGGCATAATTTATTTGTAAATCTATCTTTAGTTTCGCCGCCACCTCATTATCTAAACAATTAATTTGCTTATTACTATTTCTACAAATTTTTTTTCCATTCTTTTTCTTCTTTATTTCTCCTCAGTTTGGTTTTACCGCCTCCTGTGTTTATTTTCTAACAGTTTGTTGTGCATAAAGTAATGTGAACATGAGGGTTATTGGATTGACTGAAGTTCTTTTCTTTATTCTGAGGAGCAGGAAAATCAGTGTATCCCGTTTTCTTACTTCCATCTGGAGACTTCTGCAGGTTCCAGTGTGTTTAGCTACTTGAAACAAATGTTGTAAAGACACAAAACTCAGTTAAGCTCTAAAACAAGAGACACGTCATTAGAAGCAAATCTGTTCGTATGTGAACTCAGGAAACAGGATTTCTGCCAGAAGATGGGGATGTTGGCCTTCGGTGAAACTTCATCACATCAGGCTTTTCTATTAATGCAGCTGTTTTATCCCTAAAACAAACAATGAAAATTATAATCAGTGATTCAAAAATTCTCATTGGTTTGATTTTTTATTTTTTTTTTTATGCAGCAACAAGAATAACTACAATCTAATGAACCATTTAGATGAAATAGGAAGCTGGATATCCTGCAGATTGAGTCTTATTCCAGGGAATGACTTCATGCCTCATAGGAGGTCATCTTTATATTTACTTAAACAAAATGATGTTTGCTCTTTGAAATGAGAATTAATTCAAAAACCTAATTTTATTATCATGCTGTGAAATCTCTGGTATATTATTTAAAATGAATCCCCAGCTTTGCTTTTACCACCTTATTAGTATTCAGCAGCTCATCCTTGGATATCTCTTTTACAGGAGAAAGCTGATGCAGATGAGTTAAAGGTCAAACATTACATGTAATGGAGCAGGAAGAAAAAAAAAAAGCTAAAAATCAGGTCTAACCAAACCCTTATCTGGGTGACATTATAAACCCAAAATTTTTCTTTAAAATAATTCAGATAAAGAAAAGTTGAATGTTGACCCATTTTACTGCAAGCTGTCCACTTCTGTCACTGCAGAACCAGCACACATCCCCGCCATTTTATCACTATTCTTGAATGTTATTCTATTTTTTTATTCATGTGTCATGAATTTGTCATGAAATTGAACTCCTGAAGCGACAACAGAGATTTTTTTTCTTAAGCAAATCATATTTTCTTAGAAAACATTTCATCACCTTTTCCATTTTCAGCCATGTTGAGAGGAAACTTGCTATTCTACATGTTCCTAGTTAATTTATAAAGAAAAACGTAAATGTTTTCATAATTTTGCATTGCGCTTTGTCACTAGTTGCAGCTTATATTGCATATAAATAAAGGCATAACTTTTCCTTATATGTAACTATGTGTTCTTCATCCCTGTATGCTCAAAGGTTTTCCCACTGGCTGACTTTCATCTACAAAGCTATCCTTGGACTTTGGAGTAAAAAGCAGGGTTGGTTGTGACTGCACTTTGTAAACTGTTATCTTGCTGTCTGTGATGTATTCATCACAGACTTGTGTGTTTTTTTAATATTTTACTTTCTGTAACCTTTTATTTAAGCTGACCTGTTGGTCATGTCACTCTTGGAAAAAAATTTCAAAGAGTTGTTTTTACCTGGTTAAATGAAGGGATCTGTAGAGCAGGGGGCTTTAAAACACTGATCCAGCATATCCTAATTAAAATGCACATTTAAAGGTATAGCGGACGATCGTTTATTTCCGGATGGATCATCTAAATAAGTGGTCCTCCTAATTGTCAATCATTTTGGTGATATGTTTACATAAGGCCGTCCTACATGCCCCTCCTTTTAGCTATCTTTTTCTGTGCATGCGCACTTTCAGGCATCTATCTGTAGTGATTTATGGTGTCAGACAGTCATTGAAGCTCACCTTTCTCATTGCGGTTCTTCGAAAATGGCCGTGGGTCGTAAGAGGAAAAAGTGTCTACGTAGCGTATGAGAAGAAAAGAAAGGCCTCAGAAGAGGCAGGCATATCCCAGAATGCTTTGAGCAGAGAGCTCTCCTCGCAAGACCCACTGCATAGGCTGATGTTACTGACAGCGACGACTAATACGTAGCAAAAGTGGCGCAGGCACCGCGCAGAGGAGGAGGAGTTACGTGACCAATGGGGAGAAAAAAGTAGGGGTTAGGGCAGACGTTCGGGCACAGTAAGCTTGTGCTATGAGAACAGCAACTTTTAAACGGAGCGTGGAGGAGAAATATGGAGGATAAAAAGTGCCAAAATTAAATAAATAAATACAGCATTAAATAAATGATTAAATGTGTCAATAATTAATTAAATGTGGAATTAAGTAAATAAATGTCTCATTCATTAATTAAAACCACGTCACTAATATAAAGTGCCACAATTAAATAAATAAATACAGTGATAAACAATTAATTAAATGTGTAATTCATAAAATAAATAAGGAATTAAATATATAAATGTGTCATTAATTTAATAAAATACATCTTAATTTTATTAAAAAATATATATATAATTATTTCAGTGTGCATTTAATTATTTCATGGTCCTGTGTCGCAGTGCATCGAAACCATTAAAAGAATCTGTCAAACTCACCCATCAAAGTTAGGGGGCGG